CCAGTCCCTAAATCCTCAAATCACTGCCTTTAGGACATCACCACCTCCTCCCTAACAGCGAACAACTTTCTCATCCTTTCCAGACTCAGTGCACTGCATTTACCTACATTATAATACATTCATATTTGAAAATGGTTAACAGGGATACAAAAGTACAAACGCGAAGAGAAATAATCACTTGAATGATTGACTGTAAGAAACTGGAGGTAGCAAATGAAACTTACAAGTAACAAGCTAAAGAGTTAATTAGATCCTTTTTCACAACACATATTTACAAGTACTGGAACTGAGTAACAAGAAGTTACTAAAAATTTATATAGATTTAACACAGAAATTGGATAAAACAACTGACAAGAAATTCAAAGTATGTCAAACACAAACACTATGTCTCTAGCTCAGAAAGTCGCCAAGCTGCAAACCAGTGAAGGCATAAAAACATCCTAAAGGAGTACTTGTACCACTTGTTCCACACCCCCAAACACAGTGACATACGGGATATTCGTGAGGTGGGACAGACACATCTTTGACCTGATGTAATGAAGGTGACCTTGTGATCTCTTTCTGACTATTTCATGCACTATTCCACACTGCTGAGCAGTTAACCTATCATTCCAACCAGAAGCCTCCTGGTTCAGCCATCCTGTCATCTGCAAACTTCACCAAAGATTTCTAGATTTTATACTTCATGTCCAGAGCCTGACAAAGATACTGCATTCAAATTAACAAGCACAGTATTTCTTCAGGTATTAAACTTTTCTTTACTTTGAAAGTCTGTTCTCCAGATAGGCTTTACCCTAAAAAGGGAGAAAACATACAAGATGACAGTAAATATTCACTTAGATGAACCAAAGTTAAAAGGACTTTAATTTTTGAATATAGTAACTAAATAATAATCAGTCACCACCAGCAGAGATATGCAACAGTTCCCTGTCCATGTAAATTATTCAGACTAAATGTGAAATTGCTTCACATGCTAAGAGAACATGTGTTTAAGCACTAAAGAAAAAAGTTCATTTTATTTTAAATAGTAACTGTTTATCAAAGAAATTGTTGAAGAAATATTATATCTGTGTATCTATGAATAAAAAATATGAAAAAACAGTGGTCCATATTTGCTTCTAAAGTTTAAAAATAGAGTGAATCTCTGAACTGATGAAGGCACTGTCAAAGTATCTTAAACAAAGAATTTATTAAAGGACTAAATTGGGTCTTGGTATCTGCAACCTCTTGTATAAATACAGTGCAGATGAATGAAGTGTTGAACTGAAGTACAGAAATAGAACTTGCAAGAAGAACTATTTAGTTTTTAGTTTCTATATAATACTTAAAAGTCTACTGATATAGACAAGAGAGAAGAGTTATGTCAAAGGTGAAAAAATATTACCTCTAAAAAAAAAAAGAATGGGACACTAAAAGACAAGTTTAATTTACAAATAGATGTTAATGTACAATAATTTACAATAAGATGTTAATGTACAAGTATTCCTTCAGATTAATTAAAAAAAAAGCCATATCTGGTGGAGAAATCATTTAAAATAGCTGTGAAATAAATCTCAATAGCCAATAAAGAAAAATCAAAATTTCCTTATAAAAAGAAGTAAGAAGTTTAAGACATAGTAGATAACACTCAGAATCTCTTGGCACAACGACTCTATTTAAAAAAAAGGTTAAGATCAGAGAAAATTGAAATCATATTTACAGTAAAAAGAGAGGATATCATTTTCAACAGTGTTCTCCATGTGAAATATATGAAAAGGCTAGGAAAATGAGAAAGGAGAAAGATCTTTCAGCAATAAATAATAAATTTAAGAAGCTAAATTTCACTATATTTTAAATTCATAATCCACAATGACTGCAACAACCTTAAGGATCCACTGTGCAATAGGAAGCAGTATTTTTTCCAGGCACATTACATTTTCATAACACTGTGTCTATATTAGGATCACAATCTTCTCATTAGGCCATTTCCCCTTCCAGATTAGAAGGACAGTAGTTGCAGTAACTAAAATATTAACATGAATAGTTAATATTTCTGTTAATAATATTTACAGAATTTATACTGCAGAGCATGTCAACCCTGTCTCAGAGTTGTCAGCAAGGGACAACAGTGAAATTACAGAAGTCATCAGACATCCAACTAAAAGTGCTTCTCACTGGCTAAAAGTTTCCAACAGTAGGAACCTTGCCAAAAGCTCAAATGAAAACTGGACAAAGATGAGAATTCCCAACATCCATCCTATGTTGCCACTACTGGACCCCCACAAAACAGCCTTCAGCTCCCTGTGCAGAACTGGGGTAAGACTCTTTTTGCATGCCTTGCTCATGTACACACAGTGCATAAACAGTCATTGTAAAAGCCTCAAACCACATACATCATAATTAAAATTTTTTAATAAATACAAATAATAGCTTAATTATCATAATGAAAACTCATATTACAGAGGTACATAAAAGGAACATGCTAACTGTACAACACACATTTGATTAGTTACTTTCCATAGGATGAGCCTGGATTCACTTTAATACTACTGTCACTAGATCTCAGAAAAGCAGGTTCTGATTAACGGTTACAGTGAATATTCCAATAAGACATTTAAGCTGCCACTTAATAATAACTTTTTATAATAAAAATCAGAAGGACATTCAATTAAGAATCAATATAGAAAATTAAAAAACAGGGCCATAGATTTAATTTATTTATTTTACTATAATGAAAGATAAATGCAAAATAATATCATTGGGGGAAAAAAAAGTTAAGACTCAAGAAATGTATCACAAAAATGATTATACTGCAATCAAAGATGCCTCTGTAATCCGATGAGTTATTTCCATCCAACAGCCAGCAAGAGCATCAAGAGATCCAACAGCAAGCGCTTATTTGCCGGCATCTGTAAATGAAGCTTGGGTACAGTTTACAGTAAAGGTTTTATATTAACATCCTTTTAGTACTTGATTGCATGCTAGCAAGAGATGTCAAATCATTTCTTGAGTCTTACTAAACTCACAAACTTAATCATCTTACAAAAATAAGTGCATTCCTTTTTGTTTTATCTGTTTGGTACTTTTGACAGTGCAAAAACAAGAGCTAGCTTTTGGTGTTTCACATTTACTTTATATGCTTCCTATATTCCTTCCCAAACTGTTAGTTAAGGTAAACTTTATGAAAAAAAGTAAATAAATAAAACTCAAGTAGTTACAGGTTCTGGGGGTTTTTCCATGTTTGTATAAAAGAAGGGGAATATCCTTCCTTTTCAACAGAAGTAGTAAGAATCAAATACAGTACTTTGTAAGAAAATAGTTATGCAAAAAAGGCATCATCATAAGAAAAGTCTGTATTTCCCCCCCCCACCCCCATCCCCATTCCTTGATCTCACAATTTTGATTTGGAACGTGCAGGAGTTCATGTTGACATGCCCAAGATGAAAATCGAGTCTCACTCCCAGACAGTTATAACTCCTCCAGAAAACAACATGTGCACTTAAACCATGTTATGCACTTCTAACAACCCGTTTGCTTTTCGTTTTTGTCAACACTGACTGTTCAGCCCCAACTCTTTTTACAGGTTAGACGTATTTATAGCTCATACCTGAGACTGACCCACTGGGCATGTTCACACCACAATGCATGGGGGTATCTGGGAATCTCCAATCTCTGTCTTCAGCTGGAGAGGATGGGTCAGTGAGAATGACTTAGTGCTTAGCAAGAGCTGGAGGGGAGAGACAGGGAGCCGCAACAAGAGGCGGCTCTCTCTCCTGTCGGATCTCCAGGCTCCTGACACGACCCCCTCACAGAGCTCGCCCCGAGCTCCCCCGGCTCTGCCCGCGCCCCCCGCCCGCCGCCACCGCCCCCTCGCCCCCCGCTCTCCCCGCGCCCCAGGGCGCCTCGCCCCGCGGGGCACCGCCCCCGCCCGCGCCCCCCGCCGCCCGCGCCCCTCCCCGGGAGGGCCCTCCTCCCGCGCAGCCCTCCCGCCGCCGGCCGCCGCCGCAGCTTCCCCCAGCCCGGCAGTGGCGGCGCGGAGGAGGACGAGGAGGTGGGTGAGGGGAGCTCCGTCCTGCGCGTAACAAAGCGGCCGCTGCCATTTTTGAGCCGCGGCCGGGCCCCGCAGCGGCAGCAGCGGCGGCGGCCAGGCCCTGCCCTTGCAGCGGGGGCGCGCCCTCACCTTCCCCGTAGTCCATGGCGGCGGCGGCGGCGGCGGCGGCGGCGGCGAGCGCTGCTCCCGCGGCTCCGGCGGCTCCAATGGCGCCTTCCACCACAACGCGGCGAGGCGGACCCGGCGCGCGGCACGCACGGCCACGGCGTGCGCCGATTGGCCCGGCTATGCGTCACGTGAGCAGGGGCCCGGGACGGCCGCGTACAGCGCTGCGCGCGGCTCCTGGACCAGCCGGGTCACGAGGGAGGCTGCGCGGCGGCCATTTTGAGCCCTGGCAGCCGCCATTTTGTGTTCTGGCGAAGGGCTCTGTCTCGCTTGAGGCCGCTGCAGGACGAGGAGTGGCAGAACATCCACACCTTCAGCCTCCCACACACATGCCCGCGGGCCCTGTTGAAGTGGCCGCTGTAAAAAACGCTCCCTTGAGGTCAGGCAGTGCCTGGCGGGAGTGAGCCCTCAGTGGCATCCCTGCAGCTGCACAGCCTCAGGCGTGAGGTGCCTTGCCAGCTCCCAGTGTGCGCTGCTGCGGTGTTGTGCAAACCAAATGGCTTTACAAAATAAACCGTTTATTTAAGCAATGACTCTCCCGTGATGCTTCTCCTTCAATGAACATAATATCAGTTTAAGGAAGAAAGTCTTTACTGTGAGGGTGGTGAGGCACTGGAACAAGTTGCCTATGGACGTGGTGGATGTCCCATCCCTGGCAGTGCTCAAGGCCAGAACATGTAAGGCCTTGAGCAACCTTGTCTAGTGGGAGATGTCCATGCCCATGGCAGGGGGAGCTGGGACAGGATGATCTTTAAGGTCCCTTTTATGAGAAATATCTCTAATTAAAATTTAGAAGACGGCCAAATAAAGTGAAACAAAGAACTTTATTAACAGCGCACTGGCTGCACCGAACTCATGACCAGGTTCGAGCACACTTGACTGGGAGGGACGAGCCCCTTTAAGACCCTTCGATTTGCACAACCACTCCCTCGCTCCTCCCATGCTAGGCCTCGCTCTTTTCTTTCTTAAAAGGCAATCTTCACTTTCTGGTGCAGCCCATTGGTTGTCTTCATCCACCTACCAGGTTGTGTCCCTGCCGCGGGCCGCATGGTTCCCTGGCAGTGAGCCCAGGCTGGTCTCACCACCTTACATTCTTCCCTGCTCACCTTCGAACTGTAAAGCAAACAGAACAATAAGTAACAATAAGTAGCAGTAAGCAGGCAGAACTATAAGCAGAGCAATAGGCAACCCCAAGCAGAACTGTATGTAGCAGCAAGTAGGCAGCAGCAATAAACAACTTCAAGCAGAATCACAAGCAGTCCACTAGTCCCTGACCACAAAATAGTTCCCCAGTCCTCTAAACAAAATGGCTCCCAAGTGCCCCAGCACGAGGCAGCCATGGAAACCCCTGCTTGTAATAAAACCATCCTATTTATTTCCTACACTTTCAATCCCTTAACATTCAATGATTCCATGATTCTATGATCCACCAATCCTGAGATAAAGTATTCTGGCATCTGTAACAGGCTGCACTGAAAGAAACAGGCTAACATTAAACATAGACCTCCATTTTAGGTTAGTCGTAAGGTAACACTTTATTCCTCTATGCAAAGATTTGAAGAAGAAAACGACTTTGCCCAGATACATGATCATGCAAAAAAACCCCAATGACCTATGCGAAGATCACATGCGGAGAAGTATTTCATTCCCTATTGTTTCTTAATTAGTTTTATAAAACCCTGACAAAAAGAAACAAAAAGAGAGAGGAAAAAAAATTATATGGCAATGAGCAGATCTGGTACAGAAAACCTGGGAATATGACTGTGAGGACAGGCTGTGGGTGAACTCTCAGGCTGCACAAGTAGGCAAAGCCGCTATCTCCTGAGGTTTGATTTTGCCCGGGAAATAGGGCTTCCTTGAGTCTTGGGTGGCTGGCAGGACGGCATCAAAAAATTACAGTTTCTCCCCATCCAAAAAGTAATAAAAACCCCATTGCAGGAAAGCAAAAAAAAACCCCACAACAATTCACCGAGGTCAAGAGTCCAAGTTTTGCAACAGACGCAACCCTGAGCCTGGCAGAGCAGTTTCGCCCCCCGAGCTCTGGATGGCAGTAGTTGCGAACGAATGTGAACCGCAGCTCCCGGCTCCCTTCTCACCCCAGCATCGGAGGAGACATACATGCGGAGACAGTGGTTATTCCCTGCCAAAGGGAACCTTTCCTTCGGCTTTACCACCAACTTGTTGTCCAATGATACATTATGCTTGGGCAGAGCAATGATTTCAATGTTCAAAAACCAAATACCCCCTCACACAGACCTGTTTGTGTACCCATCCCTCTACACCCTCACCTTGCACTGAACATGAGATTCATGCAGTAGACATTTTCCTGAATGTCCAAGGCTGTGCGTCTCGTGTTTGCAACATAGCACCCTCTTTTCTGCAGCCTTTTGTGCAGTAGTTGTTCGGCACTGCACAGCCTGATCTGCAGACTTGTGCTTGTGAACAGGCACAAGGACCAGCATCCCACTGCCCTGCAGATGGGCTCAGACCTGTATGGAGCAGCATCCCGCTGCCCTGGAGATAGGCGCAGGCCCACCTGTGAGCTGTACAGCTGGAGGGGCTCCTGCTGGGCATCTGCCTGGGCCAGCCTGTGAGGGCCTGGCCACCACTGCACCATAACCTGCACAGATGTTGTCACTTCTCAAGAAAAAAAGAAGAAAAAAACACAACATATTTGAAGATTTTTCCCAGGCAAGAAAACACCCACGCACAGCTCTATACGAAATAAAAAACCTGCTGGATTAAACCATAGCATATACCTGTACAGAATCCGAAGACTATCCTCAGTAGCAAGTCAGTACCAAGCTTGTGTTCTCAGATGCCCTAAAACACACAGCAGTCAAAACTTAAAGTATAATCTCTGCTTGAGGACTCAATGCATGCTGCAGGGTGGGTTGCTGTGGAATGCACTAAGTGGATTCTCACCCTATTCCGATTCATCTGGTTGGGCCAAATGAGATTTTTAATGATAATGGTATTGAATAAGCAGCTCTGAAGGGAGTAAATAATGCAGAATAGATAGATTTGTGATCAGTGTAGCTAATGGTTATTCAAAATAAACACAAAAATCCAGAAAACTGGGTTCATCTGAGTCAGTTGTCCCTAAGACTACCAAACCTGTTTCCCTGGTGCAAAACCTACTGAGAAATTCAACAATCGAAACTCTCTGGCAGGCTGTACAACCTAAGGGGACTATTGCATAAAGGAGAGCAGGATTTACAAGAAAGTGTCTGAGAGGGAAACACTGTGATTGATTAGGAGACTATTAAAATGATACAGGATTATTATAAGATGTTTAGGGAAAAGGCCAAAGACAAGGAAGGGAGGCACAAAGGCAGATCAGGGAAGAGCTAAAAAGATTGAGGTGTGTTGGAGCAAGGATATAAAAAAAAGCCATCTGCATGTAAGCAGGCTGCTGGTCAGTATGTTTGTGTGACTGAGCCCCATGGCTAATTGCCACTGTCTGTCCTATCCTCTTTTTAAATTCCGTTTTTAACTACCTTCCGTGTGATTGTGTTCTCTATTCTATGTCTGTGCATCTGATCTGGTAATGAACTCCAAACCAGACCAGCTGGTGAGTCAAATGAGCAGTCTGGGAGACAGGTATTGGGTGACCCTTGAAGGGCTTTTATCCTGAGCATGCATTCTTAGGAGCTGGATGGGACTATGCCACCTGTTGTGGGTGTCTGTAAAGACCCAGGCTGAGAACAGATAGAAGCATGTCCAAGGCACCTAACACTCCCCATTCATAGGATAATGATGCCAAGACATATTTTTTGTGAATCTCTCCACTATTTTCCTGAAGCATATTTGTTCTACGACTAAGCATATTGACTCATTAGAGCATACTAGACTACCAAGAGCCACAGGGTTAAGCCTCTGTAGTTTGTCATGTTAAAAACCTGAATTCAAAAGGTCAGAAGCAGCCCCTGAAGAGATGAATGATTGTTGAAATCAGCAGAGTTTCATACAGACTTCAGGAAGCTCTGAATTGGGTCCAAGCACATCACGGCAAGATTACTTAAAATTTTTATGCAACCTCCCAGTGTTACTATGAGAACTACCGCCATCCTGTGTGCCATTTCATGATCTGAGGAAGTTATTGACAACAGAGATGGTTGTTATGGGGACAGCTGTCTGTCAAAGAAAAGAGAGTACATGACAAAGACAACATCTGATTATGATCGATTTGTTCTTATACAGAAAAGGAGGTGTTTTCACATGCAGCCCTGAAAACACACAGGTTTATTTAGGCTTTTAAAGCTATTGCCCCAGAACCAGAAGCTCAGGAACAAGCAACTGAATCTGGGGGCAGACCAAGACTACAGCAGGTATAACATAAAATTTTTTGGATTCAATACAAACAGGTCAGCAAAAGCGTATTATTTTAGACTTAATTATGATCAATGGGCCACTGTTGGTCTCAGACTTTTTAAAACAAAGGCTCCTTTTTCCTCCCTGCAGGACTCCAAAAAGGAAAAAAAATCTAAGCTAAGGAAAGTAAAACAAAACAGAGACATAAGAATAGAAAGGGAACAGACCGGTATTGTACTTCATTTGTTCTCAATGATCCAAAACATGAATGTTTCAGTTCGGTGTAGAATCTCCTTGTGCAATCACATTCTGCTCTTGAATTCACGTTCCACTGCTTCCTTGAATTTGTTTTCTTAATTTTTTTTTGTAGATTCTTCAGAACAGTACAGGGATAAGAGAACAATAAGTGATTTTTCCAAGAACAAACAGCAGCACAGTTACTATGAAATACAGCTCTTCTGCAGTTCAGTACTGTAACTACCCACACCCTCTCCTCGTTTTTCCAAGTGCTGTGTTTTCCTCTATGCTTTCATTTAAAGCATTTTCTAAAACCTAAAGAAATTCTGTAGAATAACTATCAACTGCTGCTAACAGTGGGTAGCAACCAGGTACTGACAATTGTGAAGGCCTAATACTAACACTGTTTAATTGCAGTGGAGATGATCTAAATTGGGAGGGGTTCGTCTGGCCTTTGATGAAAGCTGTCTGCCTCTTAACCCTGTGATTGACATAGTAGGTGTGATTGACATAGTATTTAAATCTACAGGAGCACCTGTCTGCAACAGCACATCTCTCCAGTGCCATTAAAACAGTATTCACAGCAGTGGAAAAAAATATATTTTAATTTTTAACATACATCTCCACTGACACTTGACATTTAGCTTTCTTTGCATTTTAGGATGATGGGGAGTGAGGTAGGAACATGAAAATTACATTGATTCTTTATAAAACATGAGTTCCAATTCCCTTTGTTTCTTCTTAGATATTAACATAGAAGCAGATCCCTCCATCTGAGGCTCAGAGAAGAACCACGGTAACCATCCAGAGCCAGACTGATTTCAGTGGGCTCTTATGTCTGTCATCACAGCATAAATCAGAGCCATAATATGGGATTTCCAAAGGTCAAATATTATGGCCTCTGTAGGTATATATTGAGAATACAAGCATAAAAGACGCCCTAAAATTCAAAAGGAGGGAGTGAAAGCATCCTAATACAGAAACACACTAATCACGTTATCCTTTCCTACAGGGAAAAAAACCACTTAGAATATAGATCAAAAGTCAACCAAACTTAACAAACTTCTTCATATAGCTCTTTACAGAAAAGACTAGAAGCTTTCAAATATGCCATAGCACAAACCTGCTGGAGCTTGCATCCTGCTGTGGCCCTGCTGAGCTTCAGAGGCATCCCACAAGCAGCAGGGGGTACTTGCCAAAGAGAGCCATTGCCATAACTCTTAGGTCACAGTAGAACACTGAAGTACAGGCAATAGAAAACCCATTTTGGGTTTTGGTTTGGTTTTTGGCATGATTGCCAATAGCTGGTTGGTTGGATATAGAGAGAAGATATCAGCTTCATTATGACACAGAAATTATCTTTGCAGAGCAACTTTCTAGTAATCACTAAATTATCAGTGAAGTACTTTACTTTTCTTGCATTGCTCTTTCTCTTTAAAATAAAAGCCACCATTAACTAGAATACTGTTACTCTGACTGAAGACAAGAAAGCCAAATGAGAGGTTGTGAAAAAGCACCTTCTAGGGAAAAAAATACAGCTCAAGTGGCTGAAGACTTCACAAGAAGTTCCACCTCAACATTAAGAACTTCTTTATTTTGAGGGTGGCAGAGGGATAGAACAGGCTGCCCAGGGAGGTCATGGAGTCTCCCTCTCTGGAGACATTCCAAACCCACGTGGACACATTCCTGTATAACCTGCTCGCTTTAAAAGTTTTTCCAGGCTCTAATTCCCACACTAGGCAGGCAGGGGGTTGGACTAGATGATCTCCAGAGGTCCCTTTCAACCCTAATGATTCTGTGGTTCTAAGACCAAAGATCTTGGTCTTTAGTCCTCTTATGGCTATGGTTTGTAGAGATAAGTCCTTGGGCTTGCTACAGAAAGAAAAAGAGAAGTCTGAAGAGGAGCACTCCAGATGGGAAGGGACCTACTCCAGGCAATACACCATGAGTATGAACCATGAGGGGGGTTCTTCAGAAACAGAAAACTCATCCCTGCCACAGAAGCAGAAGAAAGCATACAGCAGGCTGCTGTGTACACTCTGACATTTTCTCTCTGTACAGTTAGTGGGACATAGTAAAGTATTTGTTACTGCTTTTGTAGGGAAATGGGTAGAAGAGGGCATGCCTCCTTTTCTTTCATGCTGCAGTAAGCTTGGATATGGGTTTCCTACAGGATCTGGTCACAGAGGTACGAGGCTGCCCGTGCTCCTGTGCCTTCTGCCTCAAAACTGCCGTGAAGTCACACAGAGTTTGAAAATAAGTTTAAAAAGAGAGGAGGAAAAAAAAAAGGTTGAGGGTATATATATTTGCACTTGGAGGCCACTTTTCTGAGCCTTTGCTCTTGAGCTTTATTTTTACACTTTTCAGCGTGATTGAGCAATATTTTTCTCATTTTTAATTTATTGTTTTTATTGTTACTTATAGCTCAGGTTTCCAGGCTCTCTAGAATCAAACTGCAGAGGTGTACAGCAAACCCTGTTACAAGACTTGTGACGGAATCACCAGAATGTCAACATATGATTTGACATAACATTTCACATATTTTTTTCTGTGTTTCCAAAGTAGTTCATTCCAGGAAAAATTTCCACGTGGCCCAATATATCCTGCCATGAGAGTGCTCAGCATTTTGTTCCTTAAGTTGTGCTATGTTGGTGAGTATTACTGAAGAAGCTAGTCTGCAGAAGAAATTTTCCCAATGTGAAGGAAGGGAAAATTGCCATGTGTTTTTGTTGGGTTTATGATACAATGTGTACATCATGGAACACAGTCAAACTTTCATGTAACAGTTTGTTTCCAGGTTACTGACATTTTATAGGGGAATCACTGCATAGTTTTATGAAAACAAGGAACATATGCAAAACCCTTTAAAATGTGTAAGAGAAGAAAACAGATACAGCTTCTTTCTCACACTGCATGCATGCTACTTCCCATGCACTTCAAGGATGATAGAAATTTCAGCAAACTCTTTACTGTTCAAGGCTCATAAAACTTACATATACTGCACATGTTTCTGAATCAAGTTTTTGCTTGTAGTGTGATCTGAAAATTTAATGCTGAAAATAATTATTCTCTGTGCTTTCCACTTGTGCTTTGACTTAATCTGCAATGAGGAGCCTCCAAACATTCTGATTTCTGTGAAACATCTGATGATTACACACTCTGTTAGCTCAATAATTGTGCTGGTAAACTCACTTTGGAGCCTTGGTCTGGAGACCACGTAAGCTTAGTAACTGCAAAAGGTGGGTGCTGTGCCACCCCCCACACCCTCCCACGTGTCAGCCATCAGGGCAGCAGCTCCAGGGTATCAGGGAGATTCGTGCCTTGACAGTGATGCCCCCAGCTCTGCCCTGGGAAAGAAACTTCACTCTGTGGTCTGAAAAATGACTTGTGTCCTGGCAACTCTGCCTGCTCCGCTCCACAGAGCAGCTCTGCCTGCCTGGGGACAGCTTCTTCCGCTGAGGCCAAAGCAGCTCATCCAGAAAATGATAGAAAGCATCTGCCCACTATCAGCTTTTCCTTCCTCCTCCTCTTGTATTGCACTTGTTATGCTGGGTCTCAAGTCCTGGCACAAATGTAGAGATGCTCAGTGCAGCCTGAGCATATTCATCAGTGTGAGTATTGCAGTATCTGTCAACATTTCCTCCACAATACTTGTGAGCACTTTGAAAACAGTGCTGGCTGCCTCTCAAAAATCCTAGTGAAACATGGCTTTCACTCAGCTCTGTGCTCCAAGGTCATATACTTCTTGGGCACGTGATTCCAGCAAGCCTCATCATCTGTGGTCCCAGTCCAGAAGCACTATAAGTGCAGATAACCTCATCTAAGCACAACTATAGATCTCAATATGGATGCACAACATGTGTTTTCTGCACAGGTTCACAACCCTCCCTTTTTGAGGGCTTTTCAAAATCTCATTCTTTCGTCCAGTTTATGTGCAGCCACACAAACAGCTGAATCAGCTCTCCTGAAAGGAAATTCTGAGAAAGGGCAGGAGTGAGTATTGTGGTGACGGGGGATTCAAAGGCAGGTTTTTTTCACCTTTTTTTGCTACCACGGGACATGTAACCTCAACTTCTACAAGGTTATTAGATTCACCCCCTTCACCACTGAGATTCCCCTGCACAAATCCCAAAAGTATTTTAGGTAGCTCTGGGAGTGAGTCACGAAGACTTGTATTTTAACCTTCTAAGTGATGTATGTTATGCAATCTGGGACAGAAAGGGCAAATCACGATTCAAACAAAAAGGAAATGCATACATTTCCCCCTCCTGTCAACAATTTCCACCCAGCCCAGTCACCTCAAGCTATGGGTACTGGTGAACTGAGTTTATTCTGGGCTCTAACCCAGATCTGCCCTGTGGCTGAGATATACCTCTCCCTTTTTCCTTGTCCCTTCCCAGTTAGGACTACAGCAACTACAGGCAAACTAACAGAAAGCTACAGAGTGAGAGATATCTGCTTATGTATTTTTCATGAGAGGCAATAATAAATGCAAACATATACATCTAGCATAATGTTAGGCCCAGAGACCCAGGCCACCAGGACTAGCATTCCACAAAGCAATCGGCTTGCCTTGCCCCCTGCCACATTCCTGCACGCAAAATACCAGGCTTTGGAAAAGGATATACTGGAGGCAAAGCCTCACACTGGCACCAAGCACTCTGGTTGCCCAGCTCACACACACATACAAAGGCCAGTTCCAGCTAGGTGTGAGTCAGAGACCACGTGTAAGTTGGCTGCCCTGGGAACAGACATGGGCTAGACTGGCTCCAGCTTTAGCCTCGTATGATGTACAAGAAATTTTTCCTGCGTTGCTCTTGTTCAGTGGAATTCATGTGCGGAGTCAAAGATTGCTCCACAACCACCTCAGAAAACTGTGATTCATCAGATGGCATTTGAAAGGGGCCATCCCAGTGCCAGTCCCCTAAAAAACCCCCAGCTATGCCAGCAAAACTCTCTGGTGGCAGTGCTTGTACAGGTGGAATCTCATTCAGGTGGGTGTTCCTAGCAGACACTTGTACACTTACATTGTCTCTTCAGTGTATTACTACAAACACTTTTAATTTAGTCATCTAGAAGAGGATTTCAGTACTACAGAAAAAAATTGGTTTCCATGTTATTTCTGGAAGCTTATATAATTTTTCCACTTTCTCCTTTCCTCTGGGTACCACCTCCCCTTTGCATAATTTCATTAAGATGTATAAACTCTCCAAGATATATATCAGGGGAAGGAGAGTAAAAGCAGCAGTCACAGAAAAAACACCGAAATACCACTTTCCATCCAAGTTACACAAAAAAAATTGCAAAATCCCTTGGCACTAAAAGCATAGGAAATCAGAGCCACCTACCAGCAACTGAAGGTGGGGTTCCTGTGTGTGCAGTCAGGGCTGTGCCAGCAACATTAGGAAAGGTATTTTTACAAACATTTGAAGTAGTGAGTCTCAAGACCTCTTGCTGACATCCATGACACTGCTGGTCAGACCAGCCAACTTAAAGGCAGCACTGCAACACCACCCTCCACTGTGATCATACCCTGCCTTTGCATATATGTTTAACTCAAGTGAAAAGGTCAGAGACCTCCATGTATTTTTTTTTAAATACAGAAACCAAATTAACTTGCTGTTAAATGTGGGACAGGGTCACCTAAGACATCAGCTGTAGGATGTGGAGTTTTGAATCAAAGCTTCACATCTTCTTCACCTGAGGATCTGAGTCAGGATAGGGAAAGAGAAAATTAAAGTTGTTTATGAAGCCCTATAGCCCTGTAAGGCCCAAGTCCTTCAGCAAATTAAAGAAATTTGTAGGCTGACCACAACAACCAAAGTAATGTCCCATCTGCCCAGGATCCATCCAGCCTCATGAGGGCTGTGCCAGAGCACCCATGTCTCCATGAACCTTCACCAGTTCCTTCCTGGAAGAAGACACAAAAGCTGTTCATTTAAAGCCACTTCCCAAATGCTCTAAGTCACAAGGAAAGCAAAGCTATATATCAGCAAGCATGGATATGGCGTTGTCAATTCTAACCCTTGGATTAAATCAATACTCTCACCATTCATGGGAAATGAAAATGAATTGATGGTGTTGGATCTTTTCCCAGCAGGCTAGTGTCCGCTGCTCAGTGCCACTGGAATGAATATCACCGTCTGGCTCTCCTCTTGAGGCTTCAGCAAAATACACAGAGCAGACAAAAGGAGTGACCTGCTTCCTCAGCCATATGTCTGCTCCCTGCCCAGTTCTGGATCCAGGCGCCAGGGTAGGGCTGACCAGCCAGGCACTCACTGCTATTTCCTTGGCTGAACCAGACCAGCAAATACAGAGACAACATAAAGCTTGGAAACTTTTTTTCACCCAGGAGCATGTTTCTTTGTCTGTAACTCATGTCTTTGTAAACATTTATCCCCAAATGGCATCTGAAGATCCTCATTTGGTGTATGTATTTTCTTTTGGCATGCCTGGGACAGTGAAAATCAATAAAGGCAGTTTCACTTGCAGGAGTTTGAAGCCATGGTGTTTGCCCAATAAACATCTCACACACACAGTCCTTCATTGCTAAACAGAACTGCAGTGAAGTAAAAATATTGCAGGCACTTCTCCTGATCTTAGAGCTTGTAAAAGGATATTCTCACACAAGCTGAAGGGCTGGATTGTGCAACTTTTGCAGTACTGAGTGCTTACCTGAGCACAATCAGCCCACTGAGAAGGTCTGGCACAGAATTGTTCCCCACAAGTTTGTGGTTTCAATAAAACAGCAAATTAGTTAATGAAGGATAGCAGCATCTCCAAAATGGCCCTGAATTTTAGAGGGTGCTTTTTTTTCTGATGAAGTTAGCATAAAGGCACAGTAAAATCTTTTCAGGAAGAAAATGGTCTCCATGTACTGATAGGGTGCTGCAGTAGAATCCTTCAGATGAATGGATGTTTTGCACTAGATTTTATTAGGGAGGAAAGATTTACGCAGAATTTTTCCTGTTCCAAACTGGCAGCAAAAAAGAAGGAAGTGTTTACCTGAGTGATTAATTTCAGCAGCTCCAGGACAGCGTGTAGTTTCTTCCAGGGAAATAATTTGGATTCAGAAATGTATAAACCTGATTCTCTGCTTTCTTGTACTAACTGCTATTAGTACTAAGTAGGTAGATTACTTCTACTCTGATATT